AAGTGAACTCCAGGGAAATAGTTTTTAATAAAACACCTTAAATGATCCATTTTCTTCCCAAACTAATATCACAAGCTCTGCCAGCATATTTCACGTAGAAAACTGTTCAAATCTGAAGGAGGCTACGTACTTAGCGGAGAATCCAAGCAGTCCATCCAGTGCAGGCACAGTGTAGGATCCTGGATGTCGTGGATGGAGAGGAATCAGAGATTTGTAAATAAACAGCTTTGCCCATTGGCCAGTGTTCCGATGGTGTTGGGCCACCATGCAAGGAACTGCAGACCTCACTCCGCAGAACCCAGAGACGGACATGCTATGTGTCCTGACCCAGATCTGCCTCAGCCACTTAGCTCCCCAAGGACTTTGCTCATTTTATTTACTTATTTATTTTTGTACTGGGAATTGAACTCAGGACCTTGGGCTTGCCAGGAAGGCACTTTTGCTGTGGAGCTAAACGCACAGCCCTTCACACTGACTTTGGATTCAGTGTTTTCTTAATTTAATGAAGCAATTACAACATAGCAAGATACTTTCTGAGCCTTCAAATTATATACAACTAACATTGGTTATTGTGAGGCCGGGATGATGTGGGCAGGTTCGTGAAGGTCTTTGTGGTTAAAACTGCGAAGTATTTGGGGCTACAATACATACATTTGTTTTGTTGGATAGAGACAGAGATGATAATATTACTAAAATCAAAATCAAAGGTGGACCCGTGACTTGCATGGTTGGAACGGTGGTGCTGTTCCAGGGTTTTATAGGAAATGTGGTGAGAATGAGGGTTCAGGTTTAAAGGATGGGTACTTGAGGTGTGTAATTCGTGGAGATGTGAACTAAACTTGGGTGCATCAATCTGCACCCAGGAGGAACCTGACGCGTGATCAGTGCAGCGCCAACTGGATGAATTCTGTTGGGAGAACATGGATGTGGACCCTGGAATGCAGGTGGATGTGCACAATATTTAGAGTTCTAAGAGTAAAGAATAAGATTGCAGGAGAGATGGTAAAAGTAAATATTTTTATCCAGATAATTTGACTGCAAAGTTTTTTGCGTTAATAGAGAGAGAAGCTCATAGCCAGCAGTTCCAGGGGCATGGAATCCACAGCAGCAGTGGGGTGAGCTTTTGGGGGCTGAGAGAGCTGTTCACTGTTGTAAAGCTGGCTTTTAGTGTGTGTGTGTGTGTGTGTGTGTGTGTGTGTGTGTGTGTATGTAGATGTTGCACTAGCCTAATGGCTCCTGTTTCCTCTACACAGTAGAAGGACCCAGAACAATATTAGTGAAGCAGAAGTCCCTGCCTCTGGGAAACAGTGCCATCTGCTCTCTGATGATCCCGGCAGGGAGGCAGCTCCTCGGCTCATTGCTGCTGGGGACACTTGCTCCCTAGTGACTTCCTCGTCATGGGGCTGTCCATTCTCCCACATGAGGACCATTCACGATTCTTGTCACCACCCATTACCAATTTCTCAGGCTTGGCTCTGCTGGGGACCCCACTCCTCAGCACATAGCATCTGCAGTCAGCTGTCTGGTGAGTCTGGAACGCTGTGATTTGGAAGTAGAGAGTAAAAGGGGCTCCCTGAAGAAGCGGACTTGGGTGCGCTCTGCCATTCCTGCTGGCAGGTGAGGACTGGTCTGTTTAGTCTGCTTGAGTCCCTTGTATCTCTCTGGGGTTTGCAGAAGTGAATGACACAGGAATTTATAGTTCTTATCACATCTGAGTTTGTCATATTATTAAGATAATGTGACACTTCACGGAATAGGAAAATTATGTGGGATTCAGATTTTTCTTGTCAAATATGGAAATGAGCTATTCCTGAATGCTAGTTAGTGTCATAAGACTGGCAAATACAAGATCAATAATTTAACATGTTTAAATATTCTTTCATAAGTGCACCATAAACACTAATGATGACAGAGCAGATACAGGCCATAGACAGGGGCACCACCAGTAGACAGAACCAGCTTAGCTAAGCCCTGCCCAGGGGAGCCTTCTCTGCTGTTAGGATTGTGAAGCAGAGATCATTTCTCTGGAGCTTGAGGACAGAACAGTGGGATTTGGAAGGTCAGAGGATGCCTGCTGGACCTCCAGCTGGGTTCTCTGCTGACCAGCTGGCCAGCTTGGAACCTGGTCTTGAAGCATCAGGGCAGATCCTTTGGCCTGATCATTTTACACAGTGACAGAGCAGTGTGTCTGGGAGACAGATGGGAGCCGTCAGATGTGGGCCTCATTTGGATCACTTGGGGGACAGAGAGGATGTGGCGGGTAGTCCTTGGGCAGCCTGGCCCAAGGCTCTCCATGCCAGGGAGTGCAAAGGCCAGGGCACTGCAGTGTGCATCTTGGAAGCATTCAGTCACAGCCCAGATCTTGAGTAGTTGCTCAGGATGGACAGGGGTGAAGGGTGCCTCACAGGCACCCCAGGAACCCTGCCGTCCCCGTCATGCTTGTCCACAGCCAGCAGGCTCAGGACCAAGAGGGGAGCTGTGGTGGGGGGATGTGGGCACCTCCAGCTGCTCTTGCCCTTCACAGGTTTTGTCTGTGCTGAGACCCCCTCCAGGCTCTCTCTGTCTGAGGCTCAGGAGCCTCTGGTAAGGAAAGAGGGGAGCACCTCAAAGACAACGCTCCACATCTGACTCCCAGTCAGGACATTGCCAGGGGTGTCTCTGCCCCTCCCCCTCCCCAAGGACCCACTCACCCCGGTCCATTCTGCAGCACTGTGACCCTCATATTTTATGGAGACCCCCTTCAGAGAAGGAGGTCGGCAGGAGGAGGCAGTGCCTTCTCCAGGGAGACTTTCCCAGGTGCCATCTCAGGCCCTGTTTCAGCTCAGCCTAGCTTCTCCAACACCACTTCCCAGCCCAGCTGAGGCACTGAGGCTGAGTGCTGACCTTAGCTGCTTCCTCCTCCTCTTGATATCTTATGCCCAGAAGAGCCTGGGAGAAAGTACGACCAGGAGAAGGAGAACACTGGAAAGCCTCATCCTCCTCTCCAGGAAGTGCTTGGTGACTCAGCAGTGGGCAGTTAGTATTGCAGATCCCCGTGGCCTCAGCGCTTGTGCCTCAGTCTTGCAGCAACTGGGGTTTAGTAGATCTATGCAGGTGTGGACTTCAGGTAGGGGCGGACCCGTGGATTCACTTAGAAATGCTCTTAGGAGCTAGTATGGACACTGCGTTGCCAGGCTGGGGACAGGGGAGAGCAAGAGGCCAGTGACAGAGTCCAGGAGGCTGTGTGTGGCTGGGCCCAATCAGGGAGGCTGCAGGGGGCTCCAGCTGGGCTGGAGCAACTCCTGCTACTATGGCAGGAAAAAAGGCACAGGGAGCCCAGCACAGTGGGGGAGGGGGAGAAGGCTCCCTGCTGGGTGTGATGGGTAGAGAGTGAGGGGTGTGAGGGGTGTGTGTCCTGTCCTAGGGAGGCCCGTGGGGTGCAGGCCACCCTGGTTGCCATGCTTGGGACATGGATGTGACTGCTCTGGTGCCTCAGTGAGAACCAGGCAGAGTGCCTCTCACCCCATCACTGTTCAGCCCCTATCACACTATTGTCTGCCACCTCCCTCCTCTAACCTAACCAGTCCTGTGTAGTCACGGAAGAGTCCCTGAGTCGGTCTCATGCAAAGGCCATTGCTGTTCCCAGTGTATTAACCTGGATTTTAAAGTCCTTCGCGATCTAGACTACTATTATTTACTTTAAAATCCCTATTCTTTTCCCTTTTTGCCCAACTGACATTTTAAGAACCCAGGAAGAGAAGCTCCTCTGTAGGGGCCTCCTTCACGTTGTGTTGCTGGCTGTCATTGGCTTTGTGTTGGGGGACAGCTCCACTTCTTCCAGCTGCTTCTTTGAGTGGGGTTCAGCCTCGCTCTCCGGGGACTGAGTGTGGACCCTCTGTTTTCCCCACCCTCGTGGCTCTATAGAGGTTAGAGCGCAGCTTCCTAGTCCACAGAGCAATGGGCAGGAGCCATGGGCAGGTGTGTGAGCTGCAGGAGCCCTGCTTGGCACCTCCCTCCCACCATTCTCTGGCTCTGCGGGCAGATGAGTCCGGGGTCCGAGCTGGGCCACTGTACTCTTGCCAGGAAGAGCCATTCTGGCACAGCGTCTGACTGGGAGCCTTGGGGAATAAAGTTTTCATAATGGGAATTTACTGTTTTCCACATTTGCCTTCCATTCTCATTGTGGAAACGAAGTAAAATACAGGATCGTCTAAACCATCAGCTCACACTCCTTTCCCTGGAAATCGAGGCTCCATTTACTACTGAATCATCAGCTACTTTTGCCCAGTGACTTCCGATCAGTTCCTCACTTCAGCGGCTCCATCCCTGTGCATGAGCCTGAATCCCACCCGGAGAGCTTCAATACCCTAGCTCCCCCAGAACATCCTCTTCCCACACTCTCTGCCAGCACTAGAGCAAGGTTTCCAGCACAGAAACAAAAAGGGTTCCTCTACCACCAGCCTGCAGGCTTTGACGTAGCCTCATTGCTTGCTCTGCAAAGTTGAGATCTTTATTTCTACAGTTTTAATAAATTTATCTAAGGGTTTAAAAAGTATGTGATAAGTGATTTTATAATACTCTTTAATGAGCTCTTTATTAATGATGAATTTTTTTGTGACTACTAAAGACTTTTAACTAGCCTGTCTTAATAACATCTAAGCACATAAAATATATCTTAAGATCAACTTCTTATTTTTTGGCTGTTTAATCAGGAAGTGGACTCATGCCAGTGTGAGATGATTTGAATTCATGTCAGTGCTTTTCTGTCTCCTGCTGGTCACTGCTAACCCTGTCCCCCTGTGAGAACGATCTTCTGTGCTCTCTCACATCAGTCTCACCCACGCACAAAGGCCTAGACTCAGTCAGCTGCATTAACAAACACTTCTCCTTTGGAAATAATCTTATTCTTCTACTTTATTCTTCAAAACTGCTTGAAAAAGTATTTGTTCAACCCTTGAATATCCTTTTAACCTCTATGTTCTTCACTGTCTAACCCTTTGTTTTGTATTACCTCTAGTCAGAATGTAGATGCACCACGCCCGCCCTTACTGGATCCCCACAAGGCTGTGAACAGAGGGGAATGAGGAGCCTGTGACTGGAGAGAGGAGGAGGAGGAGCTTCCCAACCACATCTGCCTGTGCCTGCAGTCACTTTGCAAAGGCTGAAGCCTGAGGAGATGCCAGTCCCCTCTAGGCTGTGTGCACAAACCACTGTGAGCATCCTTAATGCTCAGTCTCAGCTGCTCCGCAGCTGAATGCACCTGTGATTCCCAGATGTGACTCAGTGGACTGCAGCACAAGAGGGTGGCTCCATGCAGGTTGGCAGCACCGGAGAAGGAGGTGAGCAGCCTGGGTCCAGCAGCAGCAGCCATTGTCTCGGCTCCCAGGTCCCTTCACTCTGGAATCACAGGTCCCATGTGGGATGGGACAGGCCAGTGACAGTGCCCAACCCAACTTCATCCTCCTGGGCTTCTCGGACCACCCTGGCCTGGAGCCAGTGCTCTTTGTGCTGGTCCTCCTCTGCTACCTGCTGACCCTGGCAGGGAATGGCACCATCACTGTAGTCTCCCAACTGCACATCCCCATATACTTCTTTTTCAGCAACCTGTCCTTCCTGGACCTCTGCTTCACCAGCAGCCTTGCCCCTCAGACCCTGATTCACTTGCGGGGCCCAGAGAAGACCATCACATATGGGGGCTGTGTGGTGCAGCTCTATATTTCCCTGGTGCTGGGCTCCACTGAGTGCGTCCTCCTGGCTGTGATGGCCCTAGATCGCTATGTCACTGTCTGCAGACCCCTCCACTATGCCGTTATCATGAGCCCCCAGCTCTGCCACCAGCTGGCCATGGCCTCCTGGCTTAGTGGTGTGGCCGACTCCCTGGTCCATGCCATCTACACCTTGCAGCTGCCTCTTTGTGGTAACCACAGGCTGGATCACCTCATTTGCGAGGTCCCTTCGCTCCTCAAGCTGGCTTGTGTGGACACCACGGTCAACGAGCTGGTGCTTTTTGTGGTTAGCATCCTGTTCCTCATTCTTGCCCCTGCACTCATCCTTGTATCCTATGGCTTCATCGCTCAAGCTCTGCTGAAGATCAGATCCTCAGAGGCACGGCACAAGGCCTGCAGCACCTGCTCCTCGCACCTGATGGTGGTGGTCATTTTCTATGGCACCATCATCTACATGTACCTGCAGCCCCGGGACAGCTACGCCCAGGACCAGGGCAAGGTCATCTCCCTCTTCTACACCATGGTGACGCCTGCCTTGAACCCCATCATCTACACGCCGAGGAACAAGGACGTGAAAGGGGCTCTGAGGAAACTTCTCCTGGGGATTCTGTGTCCCCAACGCATACGCTGCTAGAGGAGCTGATGTTAAGCCCTGGGCTCAATCAGCTGCATCCGCCAAACCAGCTGCTCCAAACTCAACCCCAATGGCTTTGCCACCCACTTATTTGTCTTTGTGATGGCCTTGCTCTCTGTCTTGTACAACTAAGCAAATAGTGCCTGGTCCATGTCACTGGAAGCTTGGGCAGGGAGAAGCAGTGTGTATGCGTGTGTGTGTGCATGTGTGTGTTTGCATGTGTGTGTGCATGTTTGTGTTGTGACCCTTGCTATGTGTCCATGGTTCACTTCTGACACAGGTTCTCATATTCTCAATTTTGCCAACTCTGCTCTAGTAAATGAGGTTTTCATTTTTTAAAATTTCAGCGAATTGTTTGGTTTCCAGAAATAAAGTTTGTATTTACGTCTAGTGTCCCCCATTAAAGTGTTACACTGGTAAACAAGCTGGTTTCTTCTGTGATCCATCTACAACAGCAGAACAGACAGCTGCTCAGGCGCCCCACTTCATTGTAACAGCTATTTGTTCTCATTTCTCATCTGAAGACATATTCCAGAAATTTCCAAGGGATGAAAGAAACCAAATAGCCGGCCGCACTATCCTTTTAGTTGGGTAGGGCTCCCCTCTCTGTGGACTACGGCTACCATGTGCATTGTAGATTTAGGCTTTTTGGGAGAATCACTGAAACTGAAAAGACTGCATCTTTTGAAAAGTAGCTTTATTGACATGAACCCCACACTGCAATTTGTGCACCTGTTGCACTCGGTTGGCTGACACGTGAGGATTACAGACCCAAGAAAGGGCCTCTGCCTTCAGGGTTCTCCTGGTCCTTGGAGTGGGTCTTTGGGCCTCCTTATTCTGTGAGGCTGCGGCATGTACCTTTCCCTCCCACAACCCAGGTGCACATCCGTGGCAGCCATGGGTCCTGCAAGACAGGGAGCCCCAGCCTCTTCACCCCCACAGCAGACTTCACAAACACCCTGCCTCCTCTTCCCATGCAGCCTGGCCGACCTGGACCTGCTGCCTGCTTACAGCTCCACTCCCACCTTATCCTCTCTGCTCCACAACACCTCCTCCGGGTTCTCCCACGTCATCATGGTGAAAGGATACCCCACTTTCACAGCTGCACCTTCATCGTGCACCCCATGCCCTGCCTCGTGCATCAGTGGGGGCACCTATGTCCTCTGCATCTGAGCTGCTGGCTCCCCTGAGGCTGGGCTGAGTTACTGCCCCGCTGACCAGGCACCAGCTGCAGCTGCTGTGTGTCTGTGATGCCTGATTATCTCTGCTTTTCTCTACTTCTCTGCCTGACCAAGTTTGCCGCTGAAGCTTATACTGACGTTTTCCACCTGATAACTGCACTCTTTAGCCCCAGAGTTGCGGTTGGGTTTTCTCCTCTCTTCTTGTTGGTATTTCCATTTTCGCTCCTGTTAGGTGTCTGTCTGTCTCTTCCTTAGGTCACTGGGCTTCTTTAGGATGATTATTCCGAGCGCTCTGTGACTAATTCTTTAGCTCAGTCCCGGGGGCCCTGTTCTGTTCCTTGGGTTGTGGGGTCTTTCCCTGGTTTCTGTGTTCCCTCAGCTTTGCACAGCAGCCTGCACGCCTCTTTTCCACCTGGTTGATGAGGCAGTGCCTGCCCCGGCTGCAGACCTGGACGTCTCTCCTTCCCAGGGAGCACTGAGTATCTTCTCCTCTGGTGACTCCCCGGCCGTGACGTTGCTCTTCCACTCAGACCGCGTGGGTGAGGCTGCAGCGTGGAGCTCCTTTCCCGGGTTTCAGTGAGCAGCACCACGGACCCTCCCTCCGGGCTGTCTCTGGCGGACCCGGATGCAAGCGCGGCTCCCCCCAGCCTCCTTCTCTCCTGACCCTGCCCTTCTGCCTGCACCGGGTGCTGCCAGTCCCTCTTCCCTGGTGTTTCATATGGTAAGGCTGGGTGCTGGGCCTCGCGCCTCACTTCCACCTGGAAAAGCACGAGGCCTGGACAGAGCTCTCCAGGCCGCTGAGAGCCCTCACTGGCTCTCTGGCTCTTGCCTGCCCCAGGCGCTGGCTGCCCTGGTGGGTGGGACATAACAGAAAATAATGCAGATGGCAAACTGAGCCAGCAGATCAGTCTTCAGCAAGATGGAAAAGCTGGGGCAGCTAAGACTTGACTTCAAACTGTACCACAATTTATAGAGAGTAAACCGGAGGGTACCGGCACAATGACAGACACGCTGACCGTGGAGAGGGTGGAGCCGCCAAGTGAACCACGCATTTGCAGGCCTGGGATTTTCAGCAAAGTTGCAAAGAACACCAATGGGAAGAGGGCAGACTTCAGTAAAGGGTATCGGGAAACCAGACATCCACATGCAGAAACATGAAGTTGAACTCTTACAAAATATTCACAAAATGGATTAAAGGCTTATACATGAGACTCGGGACTCAAGATCCTAGAAGACAGTGTAGGATTAAAAAACAAAACAAAACAAAACAAAACAAAAAAACCTTGAAAAACCTTGATATTGGGTCTTTGTGGAGCTGGATTTTAGATGGGATATTAAAATCCCTAGCAATCAAAGCAAAAATAAACGAGTGGGGCTACCTCAAATAAATAGTGTCTGCATAGCAAAGAGAAATAATCTGCACAGTGAAAGACACTTTGTGGTGTGGAAGCACATGCTGGCCGTTGTGTATCTGGTAAGAGGCTGGTACCTGAAACGTGGAGGAGCTCACAGCTCAGCAAGGAGAAACAAAACTAGAGATAGGATGCAGCCAAAACTGCTCTTAAAACTAATGTTACAATGACAAATGCCGGCATTAAAAATAGAAAAAGAGATCCATACACAACCAACATTTACACCTCAAGGAACTGCACAAAAGGAGCTCATAGTTAGCAAGATAAAGTTAGCAAGTTAAATAAATAAAAGATAGAAAAATAAAGTTGCTATATGCCTGTATGAATCTGCCAAAGTGAAACCATTAATCTGGGTAACCAATTACCAAAAGAAAAAAAGAAGACTTCTGACAACACAAAACAAAATATCACTTGTAATTCAGTAAAATGGTGCCATTTTGAATAGAGCCATAAAAGCCAAAAATACCAGTAACCCAGCATAACTTGCAATCATTAATATCTTAAATTGTTCTTTCGCAAGACAATTAATAAACAATGGAAAAATATTTAACACACACAAAGGAAAAATAGAGCCAGAAGTTTATTTTTTAAATATAAATGAATCTGGTTAGACTAATAAGGAAAACAAGACTCAAAGAATAAAATTATAAACAAAAGTCACAACTGATATGACTGAAAGCAAACAAATCTGTTCATATCCCCCAAACTGGGTAGCTGTAAGAAAAGCAAAAAAATTGCAAAGACTGAATCAGGAAAAAATGAAAAACCTGACCTGTTCAATATTAAACATGGAGATTGACTTTCCAACAAAGTAAACCTAGGATTATATGACTTTACTGAGAAACTCTTCCGAATATGCAACAGAACTCTGCCAAAAACCAAAGAAATGGGGACTTTGTCAAGGTCATCACAGGAGAACTACTTTGCTGAGACCAAGACAGACCAGGGCACTATAGAAAGGCAAGCCACAGGCACAGATTCCTGAGGAATAGAGATAAAAATCATCAGCAAAATATTAGAGAATGAAATTCCGCAGCATGCTCTGTGCCTCTGACAGCATGAGGTGGTGGGATTCATCCCGGAGGTGCCAAGACATCTCAGCACTGCCAAGCAATGACCGTGGCCAAGGCGGGGCATGGGCAGAGTGAGGGATGAGAGGAGAGAGGACGAGGTGTGGGGACTTTGCTGTGACAGCCCCAGAGGGAGCAAGCAGGCAGCTATGAACCTGGGCTGTAAGAAGGAGAGAGTGAATCTGGAATCCATCAGGCTGCAAGTCTCTGCAGTTCTGAGATAAGAGGTGGGTACAGGGGCAACCTGGGGACAGGTGCAAACAAGGATGGACAGGTCTGAGAAAAGGCCCTAGGCTTCTTCATGCTGCATCACCCCATAGAGCCCCAGGGGAGGGGTCGCCTTTTTAAACACTTTGTGGAGTGCAAATCCCTCTCTGCACCATAGCTGAATTTCACCCTGTCCAGAGACCCTGCCCTTTTTGAGAAAAAAGAGTGCATAATTAACGATATTGTTTCCAGGGATCCCTGAAGAGTAAAAGAGTAAATTGTAGGTTGGGGGTTTCTCCACCTGTGGGGGACCCGATCTGTTTGTGGTTCTTTCTTGGGGTTGTCTAGGGAGCATCAGCTTGGTTTTTCATAATAAATTTTCATTTTACTTTGCTCTGTAAATGTAAATTTTCATTTTACTTTGCTCTTAGTGCACCTCATGATTTTTCACCTGATTTAGACAAGGACTAGCCAGTGACAAGGGAATTGATTATTTTCATGTATTGAGAAGGAGCATAGAAAACTCAGTGTCTTTTCATGACAGAAAAATCTAAATAAATTAGGTGGGAGAAGAAGATACATGATATTCACAATGGGTCGTAAGTGAGAAGTCCATAGCTAACTTTATACCGCGTGGGTAAAAGTTTCCCATTGAGTTTTACCATCAAAGCAAAGTGAAGCCCTCATCACTTCTACTGGGCCTGAGATTGGAAGTCCAGTTCAGAAGTTATGTAAGGGAAGGAGAAGAAGCCTCCAAACAGGAGCAGACTTTGAACACCTCCCTCCTGTTTGCAGAAGGCTCCATATGAACCACAGAAAGCCCTGCAGACTCCACGCAGTTTCAGTTAGAGGTCCTGGGAGTCAGGAAGCAGATGCAGCCTTGCTTCACACTAACTGTGGACCACCATTTTGAAATATGTTTTACAAAATTCATGGATCTGCATTCCTCTGGGATCGGTTACTGGAAATTTACTGTCTTGCAAAGGCAGCGTGTGTATGTTCACAGCCTGCTGTGGTAGGCCTGTGACCCTGAGGTTGGGGTCCAGGCTGTGCCCCACGGCTCCATTAAGGTGAAGTCCTCTGCAGAGTGCACTGTAGGGCCCCAGGAGCCATGAGGGACCCAGGGTTAGGGTCCGGGGTGAGTGCTGTACTGTGTACTATGCTCACAGTTACCTGGGTCCTCAGCTTCTCTGTGCCACCTCCTCTCTACTTCAGGGTGCAAGGAAATAGCTGGTCATGGGGCTGAGACTGATCCCCATCTTCTCAAAACTCAGTTCAGGGTGGACAAAGGACTCAGGCATGAGACTGGCGACTCCAAACTGGCCAGAGGAAACCAGAAGGAAACACTGTAGGGCTTAGGCACAGGGAATGACTTCTTAAATAGGACTTTAATAAGCCAGGGAATAAAGCCAAGAGTTGGCTGGGACTGAACTGATTAAACAGCTTTGGAGAAGCTGGCCATGGTGGTGCATGCTATAATCTCAACACATAGGAGGCTGAGGTAGGAGCGTCATCAGTTCAAGGCCAGGCAGGACT